AAAATGATCTTATTCTTCTCATCTCAATATTTTCAATAAAGAATTATTACTTTTCCAGTAATAAGACAACAATAAAACATGTGAAACCTAATATTCAAAGATGGTCCAATTACAGCATAAATTTCACTGAATTGGCCAATCGAAAAGAAATTATTTATTTTTTTGAAAACTCATTATCTTCTTTGAATCTTATATCTTGGGGTGATTTGAGTTATATTTATTTCAAAAATATAAAAAATTTTATAGGATTTATGGAAAGCAGCTACAAAAGCATCTGAAACAGTATACACACAACTAAATCTAAGGGGTATGGTGGTGGTGGTCATCAAGCCACTCATGCAAATGACTTAACCTTCACCACATGAACTCCTAAATGCACAGCTGGAAAACAGTGAGGGTTTCAGAAATTTTCCATGAAACAACTGGTATTCCCCAGAGATTTCCTCAAAGTGTTTCTGAATCATGTAATTTAAATGCTTAAATTCATTACAAATATCTGTGATGACAGTGAAGGGTTGAATTCACTTTCTAACCTGAGACAAGTTTAAAAGTTTGCAAATGAGAATAACAACTATACTAGGTCAACTCCCTGGAGAATCTAGAGTGGGTTTTAACTAAGAATCTAATTTATTAAACAGACTAAATCATACTATAAACCATGGAAGTCTATAGTTATAGGATAGTGTCCCAGAAGACACTGCTGGTGATCTATGCAACAGTTCTCCCCTCCTTCCTCTTTCTATCGTGGTCACAGTGTATCTTCTCCTGCAGGGAAGCAGACTCCTTGGGCAGTCCTGGTTACCTTGGGTCAATCATCCACTGTATTGCCCTGGCAGCAACCACCGTTTACATAGTTCATCCCATCACACAAATAGCAGGACTCTTGCTTGGAATGTTGCTCCAAATGCTACTGGTAGCCAACTTAGGGCCAAAAGGGGAACTCACCTTGGCTGAAATTAAAGTCCCAAAAGGTAGGAACGATCAAGGTGGCTCCTCAGGATGGCTCACTGATTGCCTGGATCAAGCAATGCTAAACAGATCCTAACTTCTCTAGACTCTTAATTACATGAGCTGGAATATACTCAGTTTTGGGTTCTGCAAAAAAGTTCTAAATGATGTAAGTTTAACTTCAAATAGTCTATTTACTCAGAGAAAAAAGTAAAGAAACCTGCAATTTATGTCTTCTTGGCACAGTATTAACATTGAAGGGGTTCAGAATATATGATGCATAATAATTATTTTAAATTGTAGGCATTTGAGAATAGGCTTTTTTATGGCTGTTTCCACCCCTGAATATTCAGATCTGCTTAAAGGAGAGACTCTCAAAAGAACTAATCATAAATGCCTTCTAAGGAGAAGAGAACACTGAAGAGGAAGTAACCATCAAACGTAAACTCACAAAACTATCTCTCTCTCTCTCTCTCCTATTGCTTAAGGGCCCATTTATCTTTCTTGAAAGTCATTTGTTTTCCTGTAAGGGCCTTTTCTTCTCCTCCACTTTCCCCATTAAGATATCAATAGTGTCTATTCCAGCATCCTTTTCTCTTGCTAATTGTCAATTCAATTTGTCCCCAACCACTAAACCTAAAAGAGGGAAGAAAACCTTTATTTCCTGACACGATTAACTAATAAAAATTCTACTTTCAGGTTAAGAAATTGCCAGCTTTTCCATGTGTCTTGTCCAGTTCTTTGTTCAGAACACCAAGGACCTGAAATGAAGCCCCCAAGACTCCCATCCAATAACAAAATGACTTCTTCTTTCCTAGCCTATATCCATCAAACTGCACTGCTTACCCTCCCAGAAGCTACATCCTTCCCAGACACTTACAAAATGTAACAGCATTCTAATCCTATAGCATCATTCAAGAATTACCACTGAAGCCATGTGTGGTGGCATGTGCCTGCTGGTAGTCCCAGCACTCAGGAGGGCTCAGGTAGAAGGATCACTTGAGCCTAAGGAATCTCACACCAACCTAGGCAACGAAGTAAGACCCTGCCTCTAAACAAACAAACAAACACTGACCACTATTTTATAGTTAGGGTAAATTCTAGTTTAGCAGGTATGTTTCAAGTATTTCAGATCAAAGTAAAAAATCCCAGCCCCACAATAGGGAAAGTTAGTACAATGGAGTTTGAGGAAGCATACCTGGCTGTTAATATTGTTTACCTGAAGAGGTAGAAGGAAAAATATCAAGGATGATCACTGACAGAGATCACAATCTGTCACTCCCAAAATGCCAGTCTGGTGGTTTTTTGTTTGTTTTTTGAAACAGGGTCCCCTATGCAGTTCAGCCTTGCCCTAACTCACTATGTAGCCTCCCCTTTAACTCAAAGTGATCTTCCTGGCCCAGCCTACAGAGTGCTGGGATTATAGACATGGGTCACCATGAAGTAGGACTTCCAAGTTTAGACAGTCTATTTCCATGATTCATAAGACACAGTCCTCTTTTAAGGCAAAGTTACTAAACTATCTGCCCTTAGGGGCCGGGAGTTTAGCTCAGCGGTTCCAGCACCTGCCTTGCAAGTTCAAGGTCCCAAGTTCGATCCCCAGTACCAAAACTATCTGCCCTTGTCCTGTTGCAGTAAACTCACTTGAAACATCGTTAGAAAAACCACCCCCTTCAACAAAATACATAAAAGCTGGAACTTCTTTGTTCAATGCTCTTCCTTTGGACAGGAGTCCCTTCAGCGGGTGTACACCTTAAACCTGAAATAAAGTCCTCCTGTCTCTCCGGTCTCCTGGATTCCCGCAACAACCACCCTGGCTCTAAAATGCCACTTTGGCATGAGGATTATTTTGAACTGATGGCAACTAAGAAACAGCAGACACAAGGACTCTGCCCTCCAGCTTTCTGCCTAAAATCAGGGTATTTATTTCCCTTGATGAAGGTGTCCTCTTTCTTCCTCTCCTACCAGAATCAAGGGATCCTTAATCTCCGGAGATTATCAGTGGAGATGACACAAACGTGTGTAAAAACAAACCTTACCAAATAACCCTTTATCTTCCATTAGTCTCCTATATATTTACCTTCTCACAATTTACCACTTGTAGAAATCCAAGCCTCTCTTTTCCTTGTCAGGGAATGTTTTGGTATATTTGCTATTAAGGAGACAAATATCCCAAGGGCTGCCTCTACACTGCCAAAATATTACATGACTTCTTTTCTCCTGATACAGGGTCTTGCTACAGTTCAGGCGCCACCATGCCTGGCATGATGCTCCATTTTCTGTTCCTCTTGGTCTTTTTTGTCTTCTTACTTGAATAGAGTCCAATATGGCCACTCTCTCACTACATGTTCCCGCAGGTGTGACAGCCAGAGGCCAGCGGGTCAGGATTAGAAAGGGGTTCTCTGAAGAGAGCGAGAGTGAGGGAGAAACCACAGGCACACTTACTGCAAGTCCCTGTCCTGTCAGCTCTACTGTCTTTCCATTTGGGAACTACAGAGTGAGCTTATCGGGAAGATAGTGTAAAACACTCAGTTATAGACAGTTATCTTTGTCCTTTTACTTATAGCTGGATCATCACTGAACTAAAACACAAAGAAAGACAACAGCCTTACGACCTTCAAAGCTTACAGACATAAGTACAGTTACATGCATCCTATTATTCTTGCACAATTGCTTTTCAAATCTTCTGTCTTACATCATTAGAAAAACTAAGCTAAAATGCCATTTCTTATTTCTGTGAAACAGTCTTTTAAAAAAAAGAGTAGAACAGTATGATGCGCCAGGCGTGATGGTGCCTGTTATTCCAGTACTTGAGAGGCTGAGGCACAAGGATTGTTGCCCTGAGTTCGAGGCCAGCTTGGGCTACATGGTCAACTCAAGGCCAGCCTGAACTACAAAGTGAGACCCTGCCTCAGACAAAAAAAAACAAACAAAAACAACAAAAACCCAGATGATTCCTGTATATTCCCTTTATTCAGATTCACTAGATAACATTTTGCCACATTTTCTCTTGTGTTTGTGTGTATGCTTGCTTTACAAGGTGTAATAAAAAAATGGTGAATATTAATTTTTTTTTTTAATTTAAAGACACGGGGCGGGGGATTTAGTTCAGTGGTTCTGGCGCCTGCCTTGCAAGCACAAGGTCCTGAGTTCAATCCCCGGTACCAAAAACAAAACAAAACAAAACAAAAAAATTTAAAGACACACTGTAATTAATCCCCCGCAAACTGCTCCTCACTTTAAACACACACATTGTTCTTGCCAAAGATGAGACAAAAAGTACCACTGACGTTGCTGCTAAGTGACATCCAATGGAAAGGCAAGCTTGTAGAAACATTATGGTGTGACCTTATCCACCTTATTCACTGGATCTGGCACTGTGCAAGTGACTGACTTCTGGTTCTTCCTCCAAGTCAAAATGACCATGAAAGGTAAATGTTTTTAATCAATTTGGGACATTGAGGCAGTCATGACAGCACAACTGAAAGACTCTGATAAAAGAGGGCTTCCAGAACTGCTTCAGAAAGTGGCAAGAAAGATGGGATCAGTGTGTCTGAAGTGAGGGGGACTATTTTGAGGAGGAGTAGTGGTAATGTGCCTTTTACTGTAATGAATTTATTTATTTATTTTTAAATTTTTTCCCCAGTACTGGGAATCAAACTCAGACCTTGCACTCGCCAGGCAGGTGCAGAACCGCTGACCTAAATCCCTGGCCCTTGTAATGAATTTTAAAATTTAAACATTTGCTAGGGCCGGGGATTTAGCTCAGTGGCTTCGCCGCCTGCTGTGCAAGCGCAAGGACTCGAGTTCAATCCCTGGTACCAAAAAGAATAAATAAATAAAATAAAATTAAATTAAATTAAATTTAAACATTTGCTGTATCTTTCAATCACACCTCACATACCACAAATCTTAATCTGGCAAAGGTGCCACACAAAACTCTGAAAAATTAAGTAACTGAAAAATTTTCATTTAGAGTTTTTTTGTTTTGTTTTTGGTTGTTCTCCACTTTTCCAAAAGATTCTGTCTGCATTAAACTATTTATTGCATACCTGATCCATATCTAACGTTGTTTCTATCATTTCCTGAAACTTGGAGAAATCAGAACGAAGATCAATAAGAGGAGTCACAAACACTGCCAACAACAATGCCTGGTGTCTTCCTAAGTGAAAGGAAAAATAAAAATAAATAAATAAAAGGTCTCACTTTAAAAATACAAGACTATAGATCACAAAAACTTGAATGAGGTAACAAACATCATTTGATCTAATAAAAAAATCACAAATAGTGCAGCAGGTGTCCAAAGTTTTATTTACTTAGGCGTCTTAATTCAAAATTAGCATTCAATTTATTTTTATAGACATGGGGCTGATGTGATCTAGCACTCAAAGCTTCCTACTAATAAAAACACTGTCCCTCTACCTATCACCTCCCTTATAAGGAGTGTTAAGAGATGTAGAAATGTGACATTAAAACCAAATGAGATTCCCGGTACCAAAAAAAAAAAAAAAAAAAAGCCAAATGAATTTCATTTCTTGTGGATCGAATAACCGAAAGTCAAAACCTTTAAGTAAGACCTCCAACTTACCTTGCATTCCAAATTTCCATTAATAACATAGTATTCCAATTAACAGAGGTTAAATCAAGTACTGTATTTACACACCAGAACTCTGCTTAATGAGATTTAAGAGTACACGACAGGGAATTATGTGGGGAGGAGTAGGGGAAGCCACAGAGTGATGGCGTAAGGAACTGAGCAGAGACCCGGTGTCAGTAGCACCTTTGCCACACACTTGCTGCCTTTATCATCTGGAATGTGTTGCTCAGAGTCAAACCCAACAATGCATTACTATTAGTGTAACACAAGGACTTCACTTTTCTGATCTCTGGTCAGTTGGTTGGAGGAATTTTCTAAGTGATCTCTAGCATACTGCATTTTACCCTACAGCAATAATTCCCAAACTTTCTTAACTAAAATAATTTCCAAACTACAGAAATTTCTGTAGTTCTTGATTGAAAAAATGAGGAAAAGCTACTAAGAAGTCGGCAAAATTGCTTTTAAAATTCATGTTTTATTATTAATCACAACAGCATTTACACATATTGAGAAAATAGTTCACATGTGTGAAACATTTAGACAGACTATAAACACTTTGCCCACATAATGTCTGTTGTGCTACAATGCCTGGTTCTTTCTCTCAGTTAGCTTATGTCCTACTGATAAATAGGAGAATGGTGGCAGCAAATCGCAAAAACAGCAATGATTCACAAATTTTTTCTTTCCCAGCCCATTAGCGTTTTCAAAGGATCAAGGGCAAGCTCCAATCCAGAGAGTACAAGCCTTAGCAACAAAGAGGAGTTGGCTTAATGGCCACTGTACCTTCCACTCAGTCAAGATATGCAGATAAAGGATGCAAAAACATTTGCCAATGTTTTTAACAACTGATCAAATTCTATTCCTTGGCACAGATTTATAATTTTGATGAAACTGACCTCTACTAGAAGTGCCCTCAAGGGCCTACATCTCAAAGGAAGAAAAAAGAGCCTCAGGTTCTAAGCCTGCAAAGAGTTCACTGCCTCTAGTGCTGGCTGCAAAGGGCCACGGGGGCAGTGTTACTATGAAAGTTTGTCAATGCTTTGTTATTAATGGCTTAAAAACTTTCATGTATTTTGAGGTCTGTCTCAATGGTATTTTTTCCATAAGCTCAGCTATTTGTCTAACTCATGATTCTGAAGGTTTTGAGAATACTGTACATACATATTATTATTGAACTACTGTATGTTAGAATCTGTCACCCTCAACATGTTTGCCAGCCCTTCAAACACAGAGGCAGCTTTGAGGCAACTCTTCTTAGAATCTATAAACCCCTACCCACGCAGGAGTTCATCTGCCCCCATAACCTGCAAGCTTTTACTAGTATCTTTTTTTTTACTGGGAACTGAACCCAGGGCCAATGCACTAAGCAATATTCTCAGCCCATTTTAAATTTTTACTCTGAGACAGGGTATCACTAAGTTGCCCAGGCTGGACTTCAACTTGCAGCTCTCCTGCCTCAGCCTTCCAGAGTGCTGGGATTACAGGTATAAGTCACCACACCAGCTTTCACTAACATCCTGAGGTCCCTTCCCTTACCTGTCTGTAACTTCTACTAAACTTCAGGTGACAATTTCCAACTGGGTTTTGAGAAACTACATTCTCCACTAGTTACCACAACCTGCAAAACCACACACAAGCTAACCCAAGTCCACAGACCCCTTGAATTCAGGGTAGTACATGATCATTTTTTTTAATGCAGCTGTGCCCATCATAAACTGCTGAATGTTTCAGTCAATAAGCACAAGTATTAACATTTCTGTAATACCCTAAACATAATTTAATCAATGGTAAGTTTCACCATAACTGAAAAGGACAAGGATAAATTGAATCCCAAGATGAACCCATCAAGAATAAATGTGGGGCCGAGGATTTAGCTCAGTGGTTTCTCCGCCTGCTGCGCAAGCTCAAGGACACGAGTTCGATCCCCGGTACCAAAAAACAAAACAAAACAAAAAGAAAACAGTGTGGAGAATTCCTCAAAAAACTAAAACTAAAAAACAAACAAACAAACAAAACTAAAACTAGATAGAGGTTCCATTTGACCCAGCTATCTCCCTTCTTGATATCTTCCCCAAATTAAAAGTATCATACCCCCCCCAGCAATATATGTAAACCCATGTTTATAGCGGCAGAATCTTTTTTTGTTTTTTAGTTCTTTTATTGGTACATTTTAGGTATACAATTCATTTACATTTATCATTGGGTGTTTGTACCTGTGCATGACATATCTCAGTTCTGATTTTTTTTCCCCATTACCTGTGCACCCTTAACCCGCTCCACCCTTCCCTATTTACAGAGATTTTGTTTTCTTTTTTTTTTTTCTTTTCTCATAGTTTTTCCTTGCCCTCTTTTCCTTTCCCCTTCCCCTCCCTTCACTCCTTCATCTTTGGCCCTTTTTTCCTATTTCAAATTATCAATTATTCATTTTACTCATTTTAACCCTTGTTTACACTATCAGTTTCTCACACTAGTGAAACTATTTGGTATTTACACATTCCTGTCCTCTTTATTTCACTTAAGAGTATGGCCTCGATATGCATCCATTTAGCCATAAATGACTCTAGTTTTTTATTCTTTATGGCTGAGTAGTACTCCATTTTATAAAAAAAACCATTTTCTTTATCCAATTTCCAGTTAATGGGCACTTGGGCTGCTTCCAAGCTTTAGCTATTACAAACTGTGCCGCTATGAACATGGCTGCACATATATCACTGTGGTATGATTCTTTTAATTCTTTTGGGAAGATACCCAGCAGGCGAATAGCTGGGTCAAATGGGACCTGTAGTCCTAGTTCTTTGAGGTATCTCCATACTGACTTCCATAGTGGTTGCACCAGTCTGCACTCCTACCAGCAATGGAGAAGGGTTCCTTTCTCCCCACAACCCTGCCAGCATTTGTTATTTGTTGATTTCTTGATAGCAGCCATTCTTTCTGGGGTGAGGTGGAATCTCAGGGTTGTTTTCATCTGCATCTCTCGAATGACGAGTGGTAATGGCTAAATCTTGGAAACAGCTCAAATACCCATCAACCAACAAAGGGATAAGGAAGATGTAGGGTTTTTTATATAATGGAGTACTACTCTGACATAAAGAAGAATAAGCTGGACCGGGGATTTAGCTCAGTGGTTACGCTGCCTGCCTCACAAGCACAAGGTCCCCATACCAAAAAAAAAAAGAATGAGCTTCAGATATTTATAGCTAAATGGATGAACTTTGAGACCATACTCCTAAGTTAAATAAATCGGACACATATGTTTATCTTATTTAATTTTTGGTACCGGGGATCAAACTCAGGACCTTACGCTTGTGAGGCAGGCAGCAGAATCACTGAGCTAAATCCTTGGCCCGAACACATATGTTTAAATACTGCATTGTGTCTCTAGTGTGAGAAACCAAAAGTGGAAATAAGGACCAAAACGTATAACAGATATTGGGAAATGGGAAGAAAATGTTCAAATGGAAAGGGGAACAGGGTGAAGGGAAGGAAAAAGGAAGGGACAAGAAAAAAGTGAAAATAGAAGAAAAAAATGGAAACAAAGCTATGACACATAGGGAGGGGAGGGTGCTTAACGGAAGAGGGGAAGGAGAAAAAAGAGGCTGGATGTATCTTGTACAGGTGCAGATTCCCTGTGATGAGTGTTATCATTATGTATGCCTAAAATGTACCAATAAACGTTTTGCTATTAAAAAAAAAAAGAAGAGTAAGTGGTTCAGCCAGGCATAGTGGTACATGCCTGTAATCCCACTACTTAGGAGGCTGAGGCAGGAGGATTTCTTTGACTTCAAGCCCAGCCTGAGCCTGAATTACAGAGTGAGACCCTGTATTTAAAAAAAAAAAAGCAAGAGAGAAAGTGGTTCCCTAGGATGCACTCCTGGAATGCTGCCCAGCCCAGCGTTTATATCTAAACCTTAACTGGTACATCAACTTTAATTCTGGGACTTTTCTATATTTTGCCTATGCTCATGCTACTTTGTCATAGGCTGAGAGAAATACTAAGACTGTCTTTAGTGAATTTAGAAAGGCTACCTTGCAATTAGCAAAAATACCAATAAAAACTACTTTGGCACATTGCCTTTTCTCGGCATATCACTTCACAATTTTTCTTTCAGAGCATCTACTAAAACTGTATTTCTCTTTTTTTTGGTACCAGGGATAGATCTCAGGTCCTTGCACTTGCGCAACAGGCAGCAAAACCACTGAGCTAAATGCCCGGACCCCTAAAACTGTGTTTCTGGCTGAGCATAAGCACACTGGTGTCTGCTTGCTTAGCAGACATAAAGCCCTCAGTTCAATCCCCAATACTGCCAAGAAGAGTAAACAAAATATTTTTATTTGTATGATTGTTTCATGTCTGTTTCCCTTATAGTTTTTTTTTTGCAGACAGGGTCTCACTATGTAGTGCAGGCTGGCCTCAAACTCACTATATAGCCAGGGCTGGCCTTGAATATACTATAATTGGTATCACCTGGTCCAATAAAGTCTCGATAGATGTCAGTCATCCCAGTGAGTGGCCAAGACCTCCTAACCCATCCCTTCCTAAAAAAGTCTTTGTTCTTTCCATGTAC